TCCTGGTCTTCCGCGATTCTCTTGCCCGCTTCGGCGATTTCCTTGTTGGTGCTGTTGATGTCGATCGGCTCGATCGAGACGAGCAGGTCCGCCACCGAGGGATGGAGCTGATGTTTGACGGCGTGCGCTATCTTCAGATTGCCGCCGAACACCACGCGCTCGATGTCCGTGTCCGCCATAAAGTAGGCGTTGATCTGTTCGGCAGCCTCCTTGGCGATGCGCCGTTCCGAGTCGAGGTCGCGACGCTCCGAGGCTTGCGTCCGAGCGGTGCGACCTCCCGGTCGCAGAGAGGCGCCCCCTTCCTTCCCAAGTTGGACGACCGCATCCTCGGTCGGCGAAGTGAGGAAGACTTCGAGCATCTTCCCTTCTTCCTCCGAGAACAAGACCACCAGATACTTCTTGTAGCTGTCCAGGGCGAACAAGAGATGCTTGAGCTGGGGCAGGCCGTAATACAGCTTGTTGGGCAACTGAACGGGGACATCCACCGTCAGATAGTCTTCGAGGTCGGTGAACAGGACGATCGAACGCCCCTGCGGCTTCGTTTGGTCAAGGTGAGCGAGGATGGTCGCCTCAGCGTCAGACCATTGATGCCGCTCTTGATGCAGCTCGAGGGCGTCGCTACCGTGCTTCTCTTCCAGCCGCTTGGTTTCGTTCTTGAGCTCGATAAACCACTCGGGCCGATCCCTACGATTGTCGGAGTTTGTGGAATCGACGTTCGCGTAAACCGTGAGGATCGGCGTTTTTTGATACTCGTGTGAAACGATGAATTCGCGAAGCGTGTCAAAGATGTCTTGAATCTTCTGCTTCATAATGAGCACCTGGTGAGTGACGAGAGAACCGCCTCGATCGGGATCGTAGCAGAAACCCGCCAATCGCGTAGTCTTTGTCGAAGGCAGAAGCCGGCCCTATCGCGCATGGTCCCGCATGCCATCGACGCTACAGAAATCTCGCACCGAAGAGCAGCGTTGAGACTATTGCATGAGGAACGGCCTGACCTGCAGCCGTCGCACGAGAGCTAACTCAACAACAATTTCAGTCCCGCGATCACCAGCACCACCGCCAAGAGCCGCCGCAGCTTTGGCGTCGCCAACCTTCGGGCGCCGAGCTCCGAGCCGATCCAGCCGCCCACCAGCACCACGACGATCCACACCGGCAAGAGCGGCGGCCACTCGATCGCTTTGGTCGCGAGGCCGGCGAGGCCCGCTAGCGAGTTCACCAGGATGAACAGCACCGACACGCCCGCCGTGGTGCGCAGGCTCGCCCACCCGCTAAGCACGATGATCGGGCTCAGGTAGATGCCGCCACCGGTCCCCGTCAGCCCGGCCACCAGACCAATCGCGGCGCCGCAGAGGATCGCCACGGGCAGCGGCGGCGGATGCACTTCATCGACCGGCTTCGACTCGCCATCGGGCAGCGTCTTCGGCGCCAACCACAGCCGCCACGCGGCCAGCAATAGCGCCACGCCCACCAGCGCCCGAAACAGCTGGCTGGGGAGCTGCACAGCGCCCCCCACAAACGCCATCGGCGCCGCGGCTATCGCCAACGGCCAGAAGAGCCGCCAAGAGAACCGCCGCGCGCGCAAGTATCGCACCGAAGCCAACGTCGCCACAAGAACATTCAGCACCAACGCCGCCGGCCGCATCGTCTCGGGCGCAAGCCCCACCAGCGCCATCGCCGCCAAATACCCCGAAGCCCCCGCATGCCCGACCGACGTGTAGAGCATCGCCGCCAAGAACAACAGCAGCAAAAGAACAGCGTCGGTCACGGTCTACGGCGTCGGGGCGAAGGGCGCATTGCCGCATTGTAGCAAACGTCGAGTTCGTCGATCCGTTATCAGTCTCGCGCAGAGACGCGGAGACGCAGAGAGAAAGGGTGGCTGGGGTCGAAAGCGTCAGCCGCAGCCCTCAGCGTCTGGCGAGTAGACGCCGCGCCGGTGATTCGCTGGGGGCTCCGTTCCGCTGCATCGCCAGCCACCCGCCGCAGCCGACGGTCCCTCCATTGCAATATTATCGCGACCGTACACGCCAACAGACAACTACCGCGTGGCTCGGGGATGGATCTGCTACCGCCGCCCCGACTAGGCCCGAAGAGGTTATCTCGCCAGACCGTGTAGTCAGCTGCATCGACCACACCATCGCCGTTGCCGTCAGCCTCCCCTGCCCCTCCAAACTGGGAGGCCCATAGCGTGTAGTCGGCGTAGTCAACAACCAAGTCCTGGTTGTAGTCACCAGCGAATGACAAGAAGTCGGGCAGCTCCAAGTCTTCTGGCCAAGTCCACTCGTCATTAAAGTGAACTCCAGCCGAAACTCTCCCCTCGGTTGGCCCACCTCCGACCGGAAGCCCTTGGAGCAATTCGTTGCCCGGTTGCGGCTCAAGGGTATAGGTAACCTCTATTTCGGGGTACCCGACAAGCGAAGCGGCCATGCCACCTGGCGGAGGGTAGTCGTCGGGAAAGCAACAAAAAGAGTAGGCCACTTGCGAATAGGCGTCGCCAAAGTAGTCGTGCTCGACGTAAGGCCCTTTCCAGTAGTTGCCNNNTCGTTGTATTCGAAGAATGTCGGATCAAGTGGTATAGACGAGTTGGCTGCGAACGTCCAATCATCCGTAATGTGCGTGCCACTGAAGCCGATGCCGTCACCAGGCTCTCGAAAAAAGCCTTCTTGAAAGCGGCCATAACTGATCGCAGACGTACTACCGAAAGTGATGCCCGGTCCACTCGGCCAACCTTCCGGCCACAAATGCGCACTGACAGAACCCTCGATCCACGCCGATGACCCGCCCGCCACACCATACAAGAACCAATCGAATAGCAGGACTGCATCGATATCGACGACCCGGAACAATTCGTGGTCTATCCGCGGCACATAGACTTTCCCACCCACCTGAGAGCGAGCGTAAGGATTGCCCTGAGACGAGCCTTGCCCGCCTCGTAGGTAGTTCACATCAACGGGAAGACTGACGGAATGTATGATTGGTTCTGCGTAGGAGTAGTTTGGGAGCAAGAATGCTACAGTTGCCAGAGCCCATTTCATTGAACTTCTCCAGTGACAAAGCAATTAGCCGTGGGGGCCCCGGAATTCGCTCCAACCAAGCCGATAAGCAAGCAGCGTCAATCGCTCACGACTGTCGCGGCCACCCACACCCGTTCTTCGCGCCTCCGCGTCTTTGCGTGAGTCCTCCACCCCCGCCCCTCTCTGCGTCTCCGCGTCTCTGCGCGAAACCTACTCCGCTGCCACCGCGTCCTCCCCCGCCTCCATCTCAAACCCCGCCCCGCTCTCCACGATCTCCTCCGGCCCCGGCTTCAGCGCCCGGGCGTCGTACCCCTCGCGCACCAGGATCGCCGCGGCTTGCTTCGAACGCATGCCGATCTGGCAGTAGAGGTACAGCGGCTTGTCCTTCGGCAACCGCTTCGCGATCTTCTCCGCGTCGTAGCTGTGCTTCCGCAGCGAGTCGCTCGGCACATGCACGGCCCCCGCGACGCGGCCCTTCACCCACTCCTCCTTGGTGCGAACGTCGACCAGCACCGCTTTCTCCTCCTCGACGAGCTCGTGGATCTTCGCGAGCGAGTCCTTGGTGTGCTCGACGCGGATGCGCGTCCGCGCGCGGGTGGGTTGGGCCTCGGTGGGTTGGGCCTCCGCGGCCTGGACTTCCACCGATGGAGCTGCCGCGAACGGGAGGCAGAGGATGAGAACGAGCAGCAGGCGGATCATGTTGAACCCCAGGGGTCAAATGATGGTGGCTTTAAGAATGTCTCCCGACCCCGATTACGCGCTGCCTGCCGAATCGGTTTGGTGCGCGGAATCGGGGTCGGGAGACCCCTCCTACAGGCCTGCTATTTTAAGGGATCCGCCCCTGCGTCGCGAATCGAAATAGCCACTATGTTGGCGAATCTGAATCGAGGGGGATCGACGCTCCCAACCACAATGAGGTCACCCCCCACCGTTGGCCCCGCGTCGCGCAACTAGTCCCCATCGCAATTAGCCCCCCGTCATTGACGGGGGGCTAAATGGGGCCCGCGCCGAAGAGGGCTCAACCGCCCACCAGCCGCTTCACGCTCTCGAGCAGCTTGTCCATCGGGAACGGCTTCCGCAGGTACTCGTCCACACCGAGCATCTCGGCGTAGGCCTTGTGGCGGTTCCCCTCGTTGGCCGTGATCATGATCACCGGCGGCGAATCTTCCTGCGTGCGGCGCAGGCGCTCGAGCACCAAGAAGCCCGACCGCTTGGGCATCATCATGTCGAGGATCACCAGGTCGGGGTTCTCGCGCTCGGTCAGCGCCAGGCCCTGGTTGCCGTCGCGGGCCACGAGGACCTCGTAACCGTTGGCTTCGAGCGCGAGGCGGAGCGACTCGATGATCTCGGCGTCGTCGTCCACGAGGAGAACGCGTTTGGCGGTCGTGGCTTTCTTAGCGACTGGCATAACGGGGCAGCCCGGGGGACGGGCCGACGGTAACAGGCGGGGTGCAGCAAAACCCCCGGTATACCGCCGGCGCCCCCGTTTGCAAAGCGACCCAGCCGCCGGACACCCAACCTCGAGCCAAAGAAAAAAAGTTCACCACGACGGGCACGAAGAACACGACGGCCTGCCTTCGGGACTAGCTGTGCCCCGCCAAGACGCTCGTCGTGTCCTTCGTGCCCGTCGTGGAGAATAACTTGTCTTGAGAAGACTAAGCCGCCAAGCGTAGGCGCGGCGGCTCGGCGACTGCCAGCACGCCCAGGGCTTCGCAAACGGCGTCCGCGACCAGGGCCGACGCTTCGGGGCGGGCCATTTTTCGCAGCCGCTCGGCGATCGTGTCGCGACGAGCCTCGTCCTCGAGCAACGGCCGCAAGCAGCCGGCGAGTGACGCGGCGAGGTCGCCGTCGTTCTCGTTAACGGTCGGGCAGCCCGTGCGGAGCGCCGCAAACTGGGCGTTGGCCTCGTGCAGCCCGTCGCGACGCCGTGAGTCGGGCACGAACACCGCCGGCAATCCGGCGAGCGACACCTCGGCGAGCGTCGAGCCGCTCGGGCGGCAGACGATCAGGTCCGACGACCGAGCGAGATGGGCAAGCTCGTCGATGTAGGTCACCACGAGCGCGTTGACGCCGACGGCCGCGTAGCGGGACTCGGTCGCGGTGAGCCAGCCGTCGCCGGTCTGATGAACGACTTGCCAATTGGCGGCCGCGGCGCCGAGACGCTTGATCGCTTCGGGCATCGACTCATTGAGCGACGTCGCGCCCGCCACACCGCCGAGCACCACGAGCCGCGGCCGCCCGTCGTCGCCGGCCATCGGCAGGCGTCCGCCAGGGCAATGTCCGAAGTCATCCTCAAAGCCAGGCCGACCCACCGGCCCGGTCCAACGCACCGGCGCGCCCATCGGCAGCCGCGCGGCGGTCTCGTCTTGGGCAAGACACACCACGCTGGCGTCGCGAGTCGCGTCGCGCGTCGCCGGGTACGGGAGGCAGTCTTGCTCAACGATCGCGTAGGGGACGCCGCTCGCCCGTGCCGCGCGAACCATCGGTCCCGCCGCATGCCCGCCGAGCGAGATCACCAGATCGATCTCCTGCTCCCGCAACAGCCAATGGGCGACGCACCAACCCGCCGCATTGCGCAGCACGTACCGCGGCGCCTCGAGCATGCACGTTGGAAAGCGGCTCGAAGGAACCGTCGAGTATCGAAGCCCCGCCCCACGCACGGTGTGCCGTTCAATCGCACGGCCATCGCCCGCGATTGTCACCCGCGCCCCGGGCATCCGCTCCTGGAACTGCCGAGCGATCGATAGCCCCGGGTAAATACTCCCCAGCGACCCACCGCCAGCAATCAGGATGTGAGGAGCACGAGCCATCGAATATACCCCAGCGATGTCAACAAAGGGGAGCCGGAAGCGTCAACGCCCCGAGATGAAACGGAGACGTGGGTTCTAATAAATGGAACCACGGATGACACAGATAGACACGGATGGTTTGTTGGTCGTGACCGAAGCGAGCCGTATGTCACCCTCCCTCCCCACAAGTGAGAGTGGAACAACGCCTCGCTTCGCTCGCTCAACTAAACAACAAATCCGTGTTCATCCGTGTCATCCGTGGTTCCACTCTTCCAGAACCCGGGCGCCCACTTCAACTCAGGTCGCAAACGCTCCCGGCTCGCCGTCACTCAACACTTCCAACGCGGTCAGCTTCCCAGCCTGCCCGCTGCCCGCTGCCCGCTGCTAACTGCTGTATCCGCTGAACGCCGGGGCGACGGTTCGTCGGCCCCGACGTTCAGACGTAAGCTTCACCGTGAAACGCCCGCGACAGGCGGATGACCCAGAATCCACCGGCGCCGCGAACTGTTTGTTTCACCCCGGGGGGGGTAGCCGCCTAGGACCCCGCAATCTTCGGCGGCCGACGATGAAACTTGGGTGTCTCCGTTGTGTTGGTTAATTAACTTCAAGCCGCCGCGCGGCGGTCTTCGCACTCCAGGCGACGACGCAGCAGCTTGGTGATCAATTGGCGGTCGCTCTTCTCGTCGTGACTGCCGGCCACGAGGACCGAATCGCCTTCGTCCGCTAGGCCAATCGCGACGGCGATCGCCGACAAGCGGTCTTCAACGACCGTGACGCCAGCGGGCGTGTCGTCCTCGAGCTCGACGCGGCCGTGAGCGAACACCCGGTCGGCAAGTTGCGACGCCGCCGACAACTGTCGCAGCGCGACGATCGCCGAGTCGGCCAGCTTCACGACCGCGAGTAAGCGGCCTTTGCCCCGCGCGCCGTCGAAGGCGTCGGCGAGGTCCGTCGGCCGCACCGCATTGTCGATGTAAACCGAGAACGCCTGCCCGCACGGCACGGGGCTCAGCGCGCCCGGCACGCACGGCGACAGGTCGACGCCTCGCACCGCGGTCTGTAAGTCGAAGCCAACGGCAAGGGCGGCCGCAATCGCCGCCGCCGCATCACGCCGAGCGGCGCGACCGGGCGACCCGATCGCCACGCAGGCCGAGTCACTACCAACCGCAACAATGAGCGTCTGCCCCGCGGCGTGGGACTCGACCGGGACGACGCGGATGTCGGCGGTCCCCGACTCGCCAAACGTCAGCACGCGGCCCGTGTGAGTCGAAGCGACGCGGATACATTCAGAGTCGTCGGCGTTGACGACGAGCGTCACGCCGGCGTCGAGTTCGCCGAGCGAATCGACAACCGCACGGCGATGCGCCGCGTTCGATTCCCAACACGGCCGGCCCAAGTTGTCGAGTCCGTCGCAGCGCAGCGACACGAGGCACGCCACGAGCGGCGTCGCCCCGGCTTGCTCGCCCGCAACGGTCTGGGCGATCGCCGTCGTCACGTCGCCGAGTTCGCAGCGGCGGAGCCAACGGCTCGCGGCGTCTTTGGATTGTTGGTCACGTGGCAAGCAATGCTCGCCATCGTCGTCACAGGATTCGGTCAGCAGGCCGACGCGTTCGCCCGCATGCGCATGGATCGCGGCGACGATCGTCGCGACTCGGCAGGCGCCCGTCACGCCGCCGACGCTGACAATCGTGGGAAGTGTCGAGCGAATCGGCGCCATCGCCGCCGTTAGCTCGG